TGTCCTCAGACAGCCCTCCAGGAAATAATTAAGATGGAGCCTGTGCAGCAACTACCCCTTGCTTCCCAAAAAACTGATACTTCCTGAATATTTCTGAGTCTGTGTCTGATTCAGAACAAGAAAGCAGAGTGTGTGAAGAGTACTCAGGCGATGAGCCTAAATGGTAATGATCTTTCTCTCAAAAGTTATCACTGTACTTTGGAATATTTATCTCTGGTTTAGTAAGGTTTAGAAAACAAACATTTAGAATAGGAATGTTTCCCAAATCCACACATCAGAAATAGTAGGGCATGGGAATAAGGAAAAGAAGACTGGATCCAGTTTGTTCTTCCCTGAGATTTTTTTTAAAGTAGGATTTGTTTTTGTTTAGACTATAAATACTTGTTACAACACGTTGTGTATGAGAACTACATCCAATCCAATCTGAAAAAGATATGACAAAATTTTCAGAGAAAGAAAATACAATTAACTAAAATTAATTAAAATTCTATTGTACATGGGCTACTTTTATGTATACTGCTATAGATCTGTTAGAGGTAACATAACCTCTAAATTAAAATTAAATTACATCATCATAACCTTAGAGAAATGTATACGAGTTCATTGTTCTTGAATATGCATGCAACACTTGGATAATAAGCACTACATATCTCTTGTGCTATGATCCTACATTTCTATTAGGAACAAGCAAGAGTGCAATCCAAGTACTAGTTAGAAATGAATGAAAGTAGAAATCCTGTGCTACTCAGAAAATTTTTTCCTCTGCTGAGTATTTTATTACAGAGAGTTGTCGTTGGGCTATAACTCCCAGCAGGCCCAGTAATAAGGAAGCTTACTTCTCAGAATATCTGAAACATGATAGGTTCCCCTCTACATCTCACTTCTATTTGTGGGTCATACATCAACAATAATGAGAAATTCAGAAGTCTTCTTTCTCAACTGCAGGTTTCTTCCTCAGAAAGGCTAGTAAAAAATGAATAAATAAACAAAATATGCTTTCTAGCAACAAATATTCTTTACTGTCCTTAAGCCTTTGTCCACACTGGACAGTAACTTTAATTATTTTCTCTTGGAGTGTAATAAGGTTTTTGACTTGCTATTTTTTTTAAAAAATACTGTATTTTATTTTAAGATATTTTTAAAATTGGATATTGTATTTTGCTGTACTGAAAAATGTTCTGTACTAAGAGTTTGGAATAAAATCACTTTAGGATTTTCATACTTCTGAGAACAGGTTTATTTTCCACATATAGGGCATAAAAGTGCCTGTTTGAATTGTCCATGTGAGTTTTGGAGGTATATTGTATTTGCTTTACTAATGAAAACTGAAATCTGCAATTGTATATATGAGTTCTAATAGGCCTGCATATTAAACTGCTCATGTTTCCTGTTCTAAAAGCTCATATAAGACTGAAGCACTGAAAATGTTTATCTTTCGCCATTGGATATCTGCACTTGACAGAATGACACACAAATAGGCTGAACAGCTGCTAATCAAACTCTTTAAAGCCACCAAACTCACTTTTGTCTTTATTATAAAACCAAAATTTGGTCAACTGAGGTCAAGTCGTGCACTTAACGCAGCTTTATATTATAGGCAGTGAACTCTAACAGAGACTGAAGTCATATATAAACACAAAACTTTTCTGCTGCTGCTCAGGGCTGGGATTAACTTGGATCCCCCAGACTTCTGCTTTTAATGAAATTCTCTCCCTTCTATTTTCTTGTTTGGAAGACAGTCCGAAGTTATCTCATGCTAATTTAGTTAGGCAGTGCCCTCCAGGGATGTCACAGGCCTCCATGACCCCTCCAGAGAGACTCCGGGAAGGGATGAGGAGAATTAAACATTCCTGAGAAATTGCAAAACAAGAGCCCCCAGAGATTTGTTGAGAAACTAGCTCCAAACTATCTGCCAGAGACCCAAGCCACCTTTTCAGCACTTCCTTGACATCCCTCTACCAATCCCATCTGGCTTGACTCAGGGGTTCACCACGGGGACTGGGAAGAGTTGCAGTGGAAAAGTGGAATTCAAGGGAGGTCTGATTTACACTGTTTGTGTGGGATACATCAGATAAATGGAAGGAGCAGTCCAAGAAAATAATGGATCTTGTTTCACTCCAGTGCCTTTCCCCTGTGTTGCTTTAAGTTAAAGATACTGAATGAGAAGGTTTAACTGTTCATTAGCAGTTGTATAATTTGATGTAAATGTATGGGCATATTGAGTTGTATTATGGCAAAAGTTTGTTTCTCAGAGCACAATCCTGCAATGCTTTTTACTTTACACAATCCTGCAATACTTTTTACTTTACACAATCCTGCAATACTTTACTTTTACTTAATTTCGTTACTCATGGAAGACTTCTAACAGACATGTCCTTGTTCCTTCTGGGATAAAGTTGATTTAAATGTTTAAGGGTATTATTTTTCAACCGCAGAGGATACTCCCACATCTCAGGGGGGATTTTTTCTTTTTTTTCTTTTCACGAAATCTGTTACAAACTACCCAGGGCAAAATGAAGACATGAATCTGCCTTACTTCAAAATAATCTAGACTTAAGTGGTTTAGTAAGAACAAATCTATCATTGTACAAATAAAATTGATGAGAATACAGTTCAGAAATAATAGCTGCACATTTTTATATATCTTCATTCTTTATCAAATGAAAATACATCTTTAGTACCAAATTCCCTTTCAAAATATAGTTTACTATATTCCAGATGTATTATGAACATATGTTTTAAAAATAATGTATACTCCTCCTATCAATTATATCAAATATAAAAGGAGATCTCTCTTATTTGGCATTTTTAAAAAAATGCAAACTTTTTTGTTTAAATATATACATATTCTAAATACTTGATAGATTAATCTATCCTGTCTTTCCTCCAGAAGCTAAAGGAAATTTTCAGGGAGGTTTTCTTTATTTTAGCATCTTAACAAAGCTGTGAAGTGGGTTAGGCATCTATGATCTTCCTCAGAAGAATCTCATCCCCTAAATGCTAGTGTTGTAATTAGGAGCAGTACTTTGCTGCAAAGTAATGATCAGATTTTTAGGTCTGGCTCCAGGAAACCAGTTTTGGTTTGGAAGAATGTGGACATTTGCTCACTTCATAATATTTTAATTAGTCAAAATATTACCCCATCATTACTTTTAGAGGTTTCTTAAAGTTTATATGAGCTTCACATAAACTTTGATCAAACAGACTTCATGAGGCACTGATAAGTATGTTTAAACACATCGTTTAAAGCTGCTCATAACATTCTGACTGCTGATAAAGTCTTATGCTTTAATAGCTCGGTCAGGTGACCTATCAGAGGTAGATAGAGTTTGCCTCATGCCCTGGAGTCCCAGGTATCAAGACAGAATACAGATAGTCCTTGACTTACAGCCATAATTGAGCCCAAAATTTTTGTTGCTAAGCAAAACATTTGGTAAGTGAATTTTGTCCCGTTTTACGACCCTTTTTGCCACAGTTAAGTACATCACTGTAGCTGTTATGTTACCATGGTTGTTAAGTGAATCTGGCTTCCTCATAGCCTTTGCTTGTCAGAAGGTCGCCGAAGGTGCTCACATGATTCCCCGGACACTGCAACCATCATAAACATGAATCAATTGCTACATGTCTGAATTTTGGTCATGTGATCAGATGCTGCAATTGTTCAAAGTGTGAAAAGGGCCATATGTTACTTTTTCCAGTGTTGTAACTTTGAATGGTCACTGTTATAAGTCAAGGACTACCTGTATCCCCTTTTTCAAGATGATATGCCCAAGATGACTTATTCCTCACAACAACCTTGTAAGACAAACTGAGCAGGAACCTAAATCTCAGCCTTTCTAGTACAATCTAACACTATAACCACTTTGACTATAATGTATGAAAACTGATGTAGCATTTGACAGCAAGTTTCAACATGAATTGAATAATTAGTCAATTATGGTGTCAGCTGAAGCTTTTTTTTCCTAGGCAAATTGAATAAAATAGAGTCACAATGAAAACTTTCACCTGCAATCTAAATTATATACAGTGGATAGAGAAAGTCTATACACCTCTGTTAAAAAGCAGGGTTTTGGAGAAGTTAAAAAAAAAATCATACCAAGATAAATCACTTCAGAATTTTTTTCCACTTTTAATATAGCATATAAGCTGTGCAATTCAATTGAAAAACAAATTGAAATCTCTGGGGAAGAAAAATAACAATAAAAACATACAGTAACATGGTTGTGAAGTTGTGAATTGTACAGCTTATGTTGGAGAAAGGTGGAGAAAAATCTTGGTCTGATTTTTATTTTTTTTTACATCTCCAAAACCTGGCTTTTTAACTGAAGTGTGTAAACTTTTTTTATATCCATAATATTCTTGTGCCAATCTAGGAATTCCTATCTTAATACAGAATGACAGTGCCCTGGTTTTGTATGCACACAATGTAATATTCCAGGCAGTGGTGAAATGCTCTGGCTTTGCTTCCCTCCTCTTTTATGGAATTTCCCCGCTGGCATAAACCATTGGCCCATCAATCCAATGAGGATGGGGTGGGGCGTGGGCATTCTGGACAGGTGGTGTCTCTCCTGCCTTATCAAGTGTATCAAAGCAGGAGGTCTCTCAATCAAAACTGGAGTCTTTGCATAATGTGTCTAAAGTAGGACAATTTGAGCCTGACCACTTTTTGCCTCTAGTCAGAACTCTAGATTGAAAAGGAAAAAAATACCATATTGTAGTTCCAGTGAACGTCCTGGTCTGCCTACGTGCTTCTGTAACCTGAAAGCGAATGAAGCATTTGTTTTATGAATTCAACTCATTTGAAACCCGTTTTATTAATTGAACTGTTTGAGTGATTAAAGAAAAAGTGCATATACAATTTTTGGTGAGTTCATGTTTCATAAATACAATTGTAGCCTTAGTATTCTTTCTTTATCCTATATGTATCCTATGTATTCAGCCTTAAAATTTCATCACAGTCTGTGTTTTGAATACTGTATGCATATTTATGAGACATATTCATTTAAACTCCATATATTTACAAGTGATGCTGAAGTGCTTTCTTTTTTCCTTTTTTGTTTCCTTTATATTAACCATAATGCTTCCTGGTTGAAATTGAGATGGTCTCTTTGTGCAAAGTACATGGTTAATCCTATTTTCTTTTAAGAATTGAGACAGCATTGCATGAATACCTTAATCTGAACCAAGCAAATCAGCCACCCAGCTCTTGCATCATGGTGATCAATACACCCTGCATGATGAATGGCTTTAAAGGGATTAAGTTGTTATAGCAACAAACCAATACTTCCCTTGAAAGTTGACTAAGGTTCTTTGTAAAAAGAAAAAAAAAAAGAAAACATGGCCTTTGACTAGTCCTTTCCTAGCATTCATTCCAATGTCTGCCAAGTCTAACCACATTCTCGGTACCACCCTTCACTCATACAGTGATTAAGTTGATTAAATAGGGTGGCTGCTTTTGAGGTTTTTGGATTTTTTAAAAAATAGAATATTTGTGCTTTATTTGTATATAAGAGAAAATAATATGAGAAAATTAATACTTGAAAACTATGCAAGTTGATTCTTTAAAAATATTTCTTCTGAATTTCATGTAGGGTAAAACTTGGAATCATTCTTCATATTTTTGGAAATAATAATAATAACAATAATAGTTTGGTTTAGCAACAAAGATTTCAAGAAAGAAGATTGTGTATTGATTCTTCTTGATGGTCATGATTTTCCAAGCATCAAAAATCCTTCTGCTTCAGGTTTCTGATGTTGTTTACATTTTGGTTTTTCAGTAAATTGATGTCATGATCTTTCTCTGTGACATATTCAGATGCTTCTTTCAGTTAAATCTTCATATAGAGCAGGTTTGATCGCAGCCTTATTTATGAAAGCAAATTATGCTCCTCTTTTCTATTTTTAATATTAAAAACACAGTAAGCACAAAGCGAGTAGACATTGAAGTAAAAGAGATCCGTCAAAATCAATCAAAATAGACAATTGAGTGCAGCTTACTGGAATAGAACGTTTCCTAAAAGTTTCCTAAAAGCTTAGTCAAGAATGGGGCCAGGTACATCTACTTAAGGTACAAAATTCTATAGGCTATGTTTTACCTTGAAATCTTTTCATGAATTGTTATTGATAATTAGTAGATGGACGATTCACTTTTGGTATGGCAACTAAACAGGACAGCTATAGCTACAGTCTCTTAACAGTTAAGACTTCAGAAAGTATAGATATTCTTTAATGGATATAGAATATGTGACAATAGTCTGGTAAATAAGTGCATCACACATTAATTCTTTCCAATACTACTGTTTTAAGAGTACTCTGCTTTCTTTATCATCAGCATCTTTCAGAATCATCTTTTTTTAAATAAACAGTGCTGATTTGTTTCAAAAGTACAGTTTTAAAATAAATCTTAAAATAAGATTAAGATTCAATTCTTCACCTAGACTTCTTTTAATTCCTTAAGCATATTAAATTTTATAGGAAACATTTTTAAAAAGCTATTACAGGTAGTCCTCAACTTACAACTTTCGTTTAGTGACCAACTTCATTTGAAGTTATAACAGCATTGAAAAAAGTGGCATTTGACTGTTTTTCACACTGCTTTATGACTGTTGCAGCATCCCCATGGTCATAGGATCAAAATTTGGATGCTTGGCAACTGTCTCGTATTTAAGACGGTTGCAGCATCCCGAGGTTATAAGATCACCTTTTGCAACCGTCTGACAAGGAAAGTCAATAAGGGAAGCCAGATTCACTTAACCATTTCATTAACTTAACAACTGCAGTGATTCACTTAATAACTGTGGCAACAAAGGTCATAAAATGGGACCAACTCACTAAAAAAACTGTCTCATTTAGCAACACAAATTTTTGACTGAATTGTGGTCATAAGTTGAGGACTATCTATACACCATGGTTTCAGAAGAGGATACACCACCCATCCACGCATATATGCACACAAAACACCTGTATAAAAAATCATTCTGAACTTTTACAAGAAAAAAAGAAGAAGAAAAAAATGAAGGGTGACATATATATTAAACTCCTTTTGTCAGTGAACTTTCCCAACAAACAGCTTTCTGTTTCATTTTGCCTCTGGCAAAAATTTCTAAAGATCAGAAATAAAGCCTTCCACAAATACTTTTGTATGTTGAAGAAACAATAATTTGACACTCACTGATACCAGGAAGAAGACAACATTGAATTTATGTTTGATAATACAGTAGGGGCATTGTGCATTCACTCGAAGCAAAAGATGAAAATTTTAGAATGAATTAAGGGCAAATGTTTCTCAGAGTTCATACTGCCTCTATTCTTAAGCATATTCTTCTATTGCCGGTTATTGAATTACATAGTCCAGGGAGTTTTACAAGGAGAAAAAAAAACTACTATGGTTTGTTTAGTATTGTCCTTCCTGAGCATTAGAGCATGCTAAGAAACTGCATTGGTTTCCCTTCCATTGAGGTCCCCCAAAACTTTTTATTTTTACAAGAGCAGAACTGTTGTTCTGAGCCCAATGGCCATATTTAAAGCAGGTTACTGACAGGAAAAAATATAATTATTTGTAGGAAAATATGTTTCAGCTTATCTATTTGGCAAGTACATACTGTAAGTGAAGAAGCTAATTGAGAGGGTTAGAGGGAATTATTTCCATAGAGCAGATATAAGACAGGTATAAAAGAGGAAATAAAGGCTTATCATTTGTTTAATATTTCTAGCTAAAGCTACTGATCAGGGCTCCCAGGCCTTTAAGGACAAGGGCACTTCATTCTCTTAGAATTTGTATAGGAGATATGTCATTATTTACAAATAAACCTCTTACCTGAAACCAGAAAGGGATGGCACCTAACAAAAAACCTTTATTCCCATATCTACTTTGGTGGTAGCCATATAACCAAATCTAATAGCATAACGTCCCATATAATTTCAAAAATACTGGAAAACATTCCAATTTTTCTGTTATACTGTGTCATTGGTCTTTAACTGGCTTATCTTGAGCAATGCATTTCAAAGATAAATCGCAACAGGGAACATTCATTACAATTTTTAACTAGTTCCAGTAATATGGATAGACGTGGTTTTAAAATTACTTTTTATGAGCAGAAAACATAAGATTAAAAAGTCTGTGTGATTACAAAACCGTTTGTAAATAATGAAGCAATTACAGTATGACTGGCTATAATTTTTATATTTCATTTCTCTCAGATATTGATCTTTACTTTCCATGCTCCAGTCATGGAAGTTCATATACTTGTAAATGAGATTAATACCATCATTAAAATGATGGTGTCCACTGCTATTTCTAAATATTGTATCATGATCAATGTGATAGTATAACAGAATCTGCTCTACTATAGATACTATCTCTGATGACACAAGTATAAGTTTCTGCAAGTCAAAGAAACAAGCACTGACAAATAATCCTGGGTCACAAAGAATTAGAAATAATTGAGGAAATGAACAATTGCAAGGTTTCACAAGGTTTATACCACAGTCAAGACACTGTGCAGGTCGATCTTGCTACCATGACCACATAAATGCTTCCTTTATGGTAAGGAGGCAAGAAATGTAGTTAAAGTGAGCCTTGATTAACAAGAGTTGCATTAATGGATGACAGCACAGTTAATAAGTTTTGGTTGGTATACTAGATTGGTGAGACATAGCTACAGTTGCTTGAAATGTTACATAGAGAGGGAGGGAGAGAGGGAGAGAAAACAGGTTATTTCTACAAGGGTGTTAGCCTATATGAATGCTGACTTATCTGCTGACATCAAACCATTTCAACTGCCAAACTTAGCCAGGAATACTAGTGTAATATCCTTGGCATAACAACTTATTCTGTTAACAGAATGTCAGCAATGAATTCCCATGCTCATTTTATTTTCCATTTATTTGTTTACAAATCAAGCCTGGGATCCATGTTGTAAGTTTAAAAATCTTGCCTTTGATCATCATTGTGGCTATGTTATTACATCTTTCAAAAAGTGTTGAGAACCTATTTCTGATTTGCATGCAAACCATAAATGCAAGAAAATAATTATGAAAATGCCCATATGATAGACATATTATATGCCCATATGCCTACATAGTATTCATTGCTGTGAATCAAAAATTAATGGGGTCACATATGAAAAATGAGCTATGGACTTCACACCACAGTTGGATTTTGTCTACTTCCCCATACAAGATTACAAACTCATATTTGGAATTCTTGAAAAATCTCAAGCATTAAAGAGGCAATTTCGCTGTTGAAGTCCAGAGATAAATTCAGCTGGTCTATGGATTTATTTTACTTTCTGTTATTATCACTAATCTATCATCAAGTTTAACAATGATATAATATTACAGATAAGAAAACCACTTGGAGAACTATGTATTCATAAAAGTCTAGTGTTCTATTGGATTATTTTGTTAATAACTTTTACAAAATTCTGTCTTTGCCTTTACTGTGTAACCTCATGATAGTTAAAAGGCAGCCAAAGTCAAGCGGTGAATTTTATCACAGATTGAGGCCTAGCCATGTCACGGGTCACAGTGTTCAGCATGTGAACAGGAAGGTGAGAATTGCTGAACTTTTAGCTCAGTTGCGCAGCCCCATCAGAGAACAAATGGACCAAAACACTCCACAGCTGTATAAAGAGATGAACGGATGAATACCTATTGCACAGAGGCCTTTGTGTTCTGGACATGGTCTAGCATTATGATGGGATCCACTAGGCTGAAGCTTTGCAGCAATTAAAGCAACATTATCACACTGCACACAGGACCATTTATCTTCTAATTTAGCATGTCATATGTTCTATATTTGCAATCAGTGATTATTCATAATACTCCATTGAAGTTTAAACAAAGATTTTTTTCCTTTATCAAACCAGTAATCAATTCCATAACAGTTGCAGTATTTCTTGTTTGTGTTTAGTCTAATCCTGAACTTGCTACAATATCAACTCAAAAATGAATGACTCAAGAATCAATTGTTTAGTGTAGATGGGAAGAGCAAACTCGTGATGTTTGATAACTGAGTAGGAAAGCGCACGCATTTCTACATAACTGGTTTCCTAACTATTTGCTGCTGCTGCTGTTGTTATTATTATTATATTTTATCCCTTCTTTTTTAATAAGACGTAACTATATATATTCATGGTCAGTAACTATATTGTAAAATAAGCAATTGTAAAAAGATAAATCAAAGTTGAAGCTATGAAACTATATATTTAAATATGCTTGAATTAGCAACTCTAGCTTAAGCTAAACATTTATTAATTATATAATATTTGATAAATTTTATTGTTTATTATGCATTTGATACAAAGTTAAAAGAGCATTGGAACACATCAGAAATGTATAGTACACATCAGAAATTTACATCAGAAATGTATAGAACATCACACAGAAATTATTTATTCATACATTGCAGTCTTGTATATGGTGAGTCGCACTGATATGCTTTAGAAATTTTATCTTGAAGGGTTTTAATATGTTGGGTATAATGCAGTAAATTATAGAATATGAAAGTTGCTGGAGTGATTAATAACCTTATATGTCAACTATGTAATCTTTATGGCTTTACTATTTTATGAACCAGGTAATGCAGCACATATTACTGCACCACTGTATACACATAATGAACAATGATGTTAGTAAGAAATAATGAAAAGTTATTGTATGACCTGAATTTGGTATTATATTAATTTAAATCATATTTGGAGAAAATTAGATATTAGCCTTTAGGCTTATAGTATTTCTGCATTTTCCATTGATAATTATTAGAGGTTTTCTTCAAAGCATGAGAACATCTCTTGCAAATACGAAAGTACAGTATATAATAAGATGATCAAGATATCCACTGTAATCTAGGAAGTGTATCTTTAAATGTTAGCTTATTCTACCTTTTGTGCATCTAAAAACATCTATGTATAAATGAAGAAACAGTAAGAGTTTAGAATTAAAGCTGCCTTTCAAAGACATGTGTATGTCAAGTTTAAATTTTACCTTCCAGTTGAAAACTCTTAATTAAGCATGTACATTAATTAGAATAAAATCAAAGATATTGTTTCCTAATAAGAAATGGCTAAGATATCACATCTGACATAGAATACAAATATAAAGACATCCCATATATTTATTCAGTTATTAACTGCATCCAAACTACTAGTTCAGCTGCAGAACTGGAAGATACTACTAAGCTCAAGCTTTAGTTTTTAATTGTAAAATTGACTTGCAACTACAATACTTGTATGAGCATACCTGTATTTAGTATATAGTTTCGATTTGATGAATGGGAGTGGAATCTGAACAGTTCAGGTGGTATTTACCAAAAGTAACTGAGCTGTCCCAGAGCTTACATTAATCTGATTTGCAGAGTATCCACTAGCATCTGGGGACCTACTAAAGTTGTTTTCTTTAAATGTGATGTGACGAGGTCAATGCAAATAGCATTGTGGGTTATCCTACAAGATAACAGCCCCTTTATACCATATGGGGATAGTTTGAATTATTGTGTTTGCATGCTGATTATTTATTAAAAAGGAATTCAACTTTACAGGTAGCTCTCTGTTTCTTTCACAAAGGGATTAAAAATATTTCATTCATTTTGAATGGACTTAGCAGCAGTAAGTTTTTTTCCAGATATATAGCAGTGTGGTCTGGTTGATTGAGTACTAGACTGGGAGTCTAGAAACCCGAAGTTCTGTTCCAGGCTCAGTTACTAACCTACTGTGGGATGCTGAAGATATTTATTGTTATAATTACTCTTCTTTGTTTTCTCTGTATTAACTGTTTAGTACTGAAACCACATTTATACCAACAGGTCCAGCTGAATAAAATAGGTGAAGCTGTATGTGCCTTATAATGGATATTTGCATTTATTTATTTAAAACCTGGATATAGCTGTCCATCTTTTGTTCATTATAAAACATCTTTTTTTTATCCTATATGTTTATGACTATAACAACGACTTTTATTTTTGGTAATTGAAATAGATAGTTATAAGTCATAATTGATGAAAGAAATTCCACGCTATTTGGGCAAAGTGAATCTCAAAGTGTAAGTGTTCTTAAACTGCATAACAACTGTATGTAAAAAATATTCAAAGGGAAATGCCATTGGAAGAACAAAAAAACCCCTAATAGAATGAAGAATTTATGTTGTTTAGCACTTAGAGGTTACATCAATCTGATTTGATTTTCAGTATGCTCAGAAGGCACTACTCTGATGGTCCATTTGTCCATAACAAATGGTATATTTGTCCCTGGAACATTACCATCTGTTCCGCTCACAGTTTGTCCACTTTGTTATGTCCCAGATTACAAGGGCAACTAGCACTGTTGGTAGAAAATAAACAAACAGTTATTTCTGAACAATTGAATACGCTTATGGATAAACTTCTGGTTTTCCAGAAAGGTTAAAACTTTTATCTTTACATGACTATTGATGATAAATTTGGGATAAATTAAATATATAATACAGATAAGTGTTCGTATATTGCAGTGAGATATATAATTTGTGGGGAAAAAAATTAAGAACCCATCTATTTCTTCCTCTAATATAAACTAAGTAATATTTTGCAAATACAGTCTGTGTATCAGTACTTTACATTGACCTCTCCATTGGTGAGTTGCAGGCTAAAGATTCTAACTTATTTAGAACAGCATAAGAAAGCCTGAATAGAATTGGGTTTTAAGTTTGGGACATATTAGTCATATTATGACAAGAGTGATCTTACTTTTGCAAGAATGTTATGATTTGTTCATTTATGAAATTGATCTGTTGTCCCAAAACTCATGAATTGTAGTTGGTTTACAGATACAAACAGTGTCTATGGGGATTCTAGATCATCCAGGTCATGGTTGTTCTGAAGGTGCTTTTCCAAAAGGCAACTGGACTTTCTTGGGGTGTTTTTCCTTGAAAACATTTCATTTCTCATCCAAGAATCAGAACTCAAGAAGCTTCTTGAATGAGAAATGAAATGTTTTCAGTGGGAAAAAAAAAACCAAGAAAATCCAGTTGTCTTTTAGAAAAGCACCTTTGGGACAAAAAACACTACACCACCTCTATAAATGAAAACCACAGTAGGCTAAAGCTATAATTGGCCTTTAAAATAATAACTACTGCATATAGAATGCAAAAAGAGTAAGATTAAAAGAGCAGGCATTACCAAATGAAATGTAAGAATGGATGTGTCGTACGTCTGTAAAACTAGAAGGACCTAGATTTCAGATTGTTGGATAGGGAATATAAAAATGAAATCCATATACTTTAATAAATAAATAAGACTATGTCTGATTTAATTTGCCCATGTTATGCTTACAAATTCATTGGAGAAGGCGATGATGTTAGGAATTGTTAGTGGACAAAGAAGAAGGGGCAAGCAAAGAACACGCTGGCTTGATAACATCAAATCTGATGTAAAGTTGAACATACAACACTTGAAAGAAGCTGTGCTTGATAGGGTAGCATGGAGAGCCCTTTCCTATAAAATCACCAAAGTCGGACACGACTAAATGGTTGAAAACAACAAAAATATATCTTAATGTCTTTGCTTACTATTTTTTACTTCTTTTTTCTGCTTTGTATATCATTGCTTATTCCAAAGTGGAATAATATAAGTATGCAGGTAAGATGTTAAACTGAGAAGTAAAGGGGGAAAAAGTCCTAGAAGCCACTTCCATGTTGTTGCCAAGAAAAGGATCTGAACCTGTCCATTAGAATCAGATTTGGCTATTTTACAATATAAAGTGCCAAAGAAGATTAAGAAAATTTTATTTATTTTATTTTATTTATACCCCATTTGATTATTATTGTTTCCCGTGTAAATAATTCAAGTGGCAAACATATCTAATACTCCTTCCTCCTCCTATTTTCCCCCACAAAACCAACTCTGTGCGGTGAGTTGGGCTGAGAGAGAATAAGTGACCCAAAGTCACTTAACCAGCTTTTTGTAGCTAAGGTCATACTAGAACTCACAGATTCTTGATTTCTATCCTGGTGACTAACCGGAATTTACTTTTCTTTTCACAGGCAATGTGGCTAATGTTGCAGATGGGTGAACCAGAGGATTTTGTCATAGCTACTGGTGAGGTCCACAGTGTCCGTGAATTTGTGGAGAAGGCATTTCAGAACATTGGTAAAACTATTGTGTAAGTAAAGGCCCGAAATGACAATGATATCACATGATGATTATTCATTCATGTCCATTTATTTGATTGTAACTTTATGGCATTTTTCGATATATGTTTTCTCCTTCATCTGATGTTTATAAAATTTGAATTTCAATTATATTTCATTCTAGTTTGAAGACATATCACTCTTTACTAAGAAAAAGAAAGTTCTGCCTAATCTCAAAACATGTATATGCTGTATAGTAATGAACAACTATGAAATTACATTTAGTGTTTATTTGGTTTTAAAATGATCCCTTTCTGAAAGTTTGAGATGTGTGTTAATGTTAATTGTCAGTAAGAAACTTTATGCTAATCTAGACTAATCCGAATGACAGCTTTTGCCAGGCTTTTTTAGACATAGCAAAATCTCTGGCAGATGTACTAAAAAAAAGGAATATAGCTAGAAAGCAGGTTCTGTTCTTTAAACACAATGTGCTTTGAACTTTCAAAGAGAATCAAGAAGGAAAAACAAGCTCTACAGCAGGATTGCCCAACCTTGGCAACTTTAAGACTTGTGGATTTCAACTCCCAGAATTCCTCAGCCAGCTGGCTGAGGAATTCTGGGAGTTGAAGTCCACAAGTCTTAAAGTTGCCAAGGTTGGACACCCCTGCTCTACAGAATATTTCACATTTGTTAACATTATTTGAATTTGTGTTCTACTTTGCCATTAAAAAAAATCCCAAAACAAATTAGTGTAGTGAAATTATTCACATCTAGATTTGGAATAAAAGAAGGCAGTTAACAGTTTCGAGATAGCTAACTAGTATGTGTCTGATAGTCCTTCCTGGTAAAATTTGGCACTCATTAATTTAAAAAAAAAGTTATTAATGAATTTAAAAATTATGAGATAGTGATAAGAAAGTATGAAAGAGTAGGATTAGCTTAATTTACTACTTCATAGTTTATATAGTAACTATATAATTGCTTTGGGATTGTACTATATCATAGTAAATTAATTATCAAAGTAAAATTATTGTTTATATATATGTATTATTTTTATATATATGTATTATTCCCCAGTTCCCTAAATCCAATTTTTTTTCCTGGTAACCAACCAGAATAGTAAATAGTACCACTCAGTAGACTTGAATTTTCAGTTTCCGCAGTAATGTCAACTTTTCTCCCACCCCTCAGTAATTGCCATCCTATTTAGCCATAAAAATGTTGAGGCAATAAAGCTCAATATATACTGCATATTATATACAGTGGTTTTATTGCAAAACTGAAATATTTCTCTAACTCAGATAATAAAATTAGGCTCACTTCGTGAATACTTTCTGTGGTTTATATTTTGGTTTATTATATTTACCATTTTCTGCTTCTGTGTCTTTTCTGGTGACCATGCATAAGCAAGTCAAACTCGATTAGAAAAAAGAAGGATGAGGAATACTTTTTCCCACGATACCAATATGAGATTCTGAGAATCACTGATACATTTAATATAATGTGCCTGAACCACAATATCATATTTTCTTCCTTTCCTTTTATATTACTGCCTTGCCAAAAGTTTTAATGCTTTAGTTTCCATTTTCAGCTTGTACTTCTAGGTAAAATGGTGGCTCGTGTATGTTTTGTTTTATTGAGACAAACCAAGATCACTAAATGCTGTTGTTTTATTTAAGTCCCCCAAACTTAATGGTTACTATTATTTCTCTTGATAAACATAACAAAGGAAGTGATTGGGGAAAAGAAAACAAATAAGCCATAATCTTATGTTCATTATTGTACACTAGACTATGTTTTGAAAAACATGCAAACACAGGCTGTATGTTTGCTTACCATTGGAATTTAGTTCAACTGTTCCTAATGTTAGCATGATTAGAAAAATTTACATTGCTAATTTCTTTCACCATTAATTAATTCATTTTTAATACCTCATACCTGAAATGAAAATATCTTTCAGTTAACAATAAACTGTCCAAATTGATGTAAGACAGAGATGGATTGGATATAGGATTCAATTAAAAATAAAGTGAGCTAAATTAATTAACTTTTTAAATATAGAAAAAAGAACATAGAAATGCATGTCCATACATGAAATATATTTGAGGTTGGGGAGTTAAAGTAGCTAATTTGTAAGAGGTAATTGTATGCATATTACAATACAGATGTCTTCATGCTGCATCCAGTTTTCTTCTGATCATTGTGGAAACCAGACACAGATACAACTAGTCCTTGACTTATTGAGATCCAAATTTCCACTTTAAGCAAGGCAGTTGCTAAGTGAGTCACACCCTCTTTTACAACCTTTTTTGCCACGGTTGTTAAGCAAATCACTTGGAGTTCTTAATAATATGGTTATTAAGTGAATCTGGCTTTCCCCATTGACTTTCCTTGTCGGACAATAATTGGGAAGGTCGCAAACATGATCACATGACCCCAGGATAGTGCAACCATCATCAATACAAGCCAATTGACAAGGGCGCAAATTTTCCTCATGTGACTGTGGGATGCTACAACGGTTGTTAAGTGCGACTGTTATAAGTCATTTGTTACTTTGAACAGTCCCTAAGCAAATGATTGTAAATTGATGACTACCTGTAATTAGAATGCCTGTCTCTTCATATGTTGGTGAAATTTAAAGATAATACATACATACATACATATGCCAAAATCCAATAAAGCAGTGTTCATGGGAGGCATCTTTGGATGGTAACACTAGTACTAAGTATTTTTGTATTTATAACAGTGAAGATGTGAACAAAGGAGGTGTGTTTCTTTGTTCCATCTCTTTTATCCTGATCTAGAAATAAATAATTTATTTGCGTAAAGCTAACCACATGGTTACAGGTGAATAAAATTCTATCCATCCACCTATTTACTACTTTGTGAAGTGAAACCAGTTTTGAATACAGCTATTCCTGATTTAGTGACTGCACCATACAGCAGCCATTCATAATCCCACAGTAAGGAACCATCAACTTATTTGTTAAGCAAAGCAGTCACTAAGTGAAACCACAATTATTTTTTTGACCTTACTTCAGCTTTCTTTAGCTTTGCAGACTTGCTTAGGTCATAAATGTAAAGTTACTTTTTCATCACCCTTGTAACTGTGAATGGTTGCTAAATGAGGCAGTCACTAAATGAGGATTACCTATATATTGCATGTCGTTTTAACTTTAAAATCCTGATGGAACATAGAAATTATGCTTTTAAATAAAGAATAAAATAAAACAATTTATGTTATTGATTTGTAAAATGCTTTCTCAAGATCAGACTCAGCAGTCTACTTAGTCAGATGACTATGTTTCATAGTATTAGTCTGGAAAAAAATAACTTTGTCAAGATAAACAGTTCTAAGAGTTAGAACTTTAGTTTCTGAAATATAATTGAACATTTTAACATTGCTAGTGCCAAAGAAAAATGTGAATGATAGGAGTCAGACAAACTCTAATTTAGTTCTTTGCAGTGACAAGAAGGCCTTTGAGCTACAAATAATTTCAATATACAAGTAAAACATTTTTGAAAAAAAAATCTTTCTGCCTATTACTAATTAAATAACATGACAGAGGAACATTTTCCTCCTCTAAATTAACCCCAGAAGGATAAACCAAACAGGCAAACACTTGTCTTGACTAATTTTCTGTCATTAATCTTATTAAATCAGAGCAGGACTGTAAGAATAGCCTCAAACCACTGTAATATACAAGAGTTTTTAATGGATGCTGTGAAAAAAGGAAGAAGTCTAATCAGGATTTAGAAAGATTTATGAATGCTTTTTTATTCTAACTCTGCATATAGTTCCACAGTAAAAGTATGCATTGCTTAAAGGGTTGAGATTTGCACCAAAAAGCAATGAATACATTGTCACAATCACATTAGTTGGTATTGCTTTTTCCTGAAATTATCATCGGTGTCTTATTCTTCAGAGAAATTTTATTTTTTCTGCCGGTATGGTCAAACTGTTTTGAAAAACATAGATTACAAATATTTTAAATAAATAAAGAGTTCTGAAAAAAATCACAGGACAGAAAAAGGCAAGTGTTCGTCTTATAATGTTGTGTTATGCTTTTTCATTTAATTTTTGTTTACATTTTGTGCTACCTGATAACCAGAGTCCAGTGAACAATATGATAGTAAATATTTTTTAAAAACTTGCACAGAAAGCATGGTAAATCAAAGGCAATGTAATAAATAAAATTAACAAAATAAAATTAATAGCCAAGCATATCTAAATCTATCTAAATAGTTCTTAAAATGGTAGAAAATATATATTTTTTCTTAGTACTGAAGATCATAACATAGTTTCCAGGTAAGAGTGCTTGAGAAGCCATTGTACGATAAAGGCTAACTCTAATATGTTAAAGCCACCTAGAATAAATCCAAGGAAATTGATTTATTAGGTTATTAGAAATGGTATAATTTGATCCACAATCAAAATGCAGTTGAATTGTTTAGTCACACAGAGTAACTAAGTAAAAACAGTACCTCAGTCTTGTCACTGTGATTTCATAGATAACATAGAATCCGATCTAGGAATAGGAAACAAAGCAGCGAGTCCCCAGCATTATCTTCTGAAATTGCCCAGAAGATGCTAATGTAATACACTGCCTGAGTAAACCTACTCAGAAAAGTAGTATAGTCTTGAAAACATCTGAGATGTCCTCTGATACCTCAAATTGCCCAGATTATCCACAAGTCAAGCAGTTTATGTTTGAAACTAGGATGTATAGAATACGATCAACAATTATCTGAGCAACTAGCCCAAGGATGTTTAACTTGCTGTCAGGATATAGTTTTTAATCATATGGGGGGGAGGGGGGGAATCATTTCTTTGGGAACATCTTGACCATTGCCTTTTTTAAAAACAGCATGCTTTCACTGCTTTCCTCAAAAAGGCATTTACAATCCTCTTTCTTGCGATGTGTCAATACTCAGCAAGATCAGAATCAATAAAAGCATGGTATTCCATGGAAGCAAAAACTGGAATTTGAAGGACAAGACAGGAAGACTGTCAACCCTTTTAAACTTTGGTATTGGGGAAGACTTCTGAGAATACTGTAGATCAGTGGTGTCAAACTCATGGTGTCACGTTGTCACATGTGACATATCGTGACTTTTTTTCCCTTTGCTAAGCTGGAGGTGGGCGTGGCCAACATGTGACGCATCTGGCCCACAGGCCGCAAGTTTGACACCACTGCTGTAGACAATGAATAATACAAATAAATCAACCAAGAACTTCTCATTTGTGGTACAAATGACCAGCCTTACATTATCCAATTTTGGATAAATTGATTATTTCAATTGTCCTGACCTGAACATCTCCAAGTTTGCTAGAATTAACAGGACAGCAACAGGAATACTAGCTATTTCAGATGAGAAACTCCATTCTTCCATTCACAATTCATTTCTCTGAAAAGGCACCATTTTCACAGATTTCGTTGCAAAGAAGAAAATTCTAAATCTCAAGTGAAAATAATCTGACCATGAGAATGGAGTAGATATTAAATTGCCTGTTTTCAGAATTTTACGAAACTGTCCAGACACAGTCAGGATATATCATGCTCTGAGTGCCCATATTCAATATGAAGTTAAGTCAAACAAACAAACAAACAAAGTATTGAGCTTACTTGTTGAGACAATTTCACTGTTATCAACATAGCTATAAGATTTTGAGTTGTACCAGCAACAAAGGCTTTTGGTATGTATGTTGAAGTCCAGCAGAATGATCCTATAGGTTTTTACCACCAAAACTAGCTATCTTAAAGCTAACAGACTGAAGATTGACAGTTTGCTGTTTGTTTGCCAACTTCTCATTTTTAATGAAAACATTTTAAATGGAAAAAGACTAGTGAAGAACAGAGTTTGGTGGGCTCCAGGGGAAGATATTAGCCCATTGATGCCTAGCTTTATGTAAATAAATTGTTTATTTCTAGATCAGGATAAAAGAGATGGAACAAAGAAACACACCTCCTTTGTTCACATCTTCACTGTTTTATTATAAGACTATTGTAAATACAAAAATACTTAGTATTAGTGTTACTGAGGACTCAGAGTTTTGCCTGTAGTCTTGGAAAACAAAGGTTGAGATCCTTGCTGGAGTGGGAAGTAGAAAAATAAGGCAGACTGATGTGCCCAGGGAAATGTCACTTGACCACTGAGGGCCAAAAAAGATTCTGTCAAATTTTGGGTGCATTTGCTGGGGGAACTGGCTGAATAAGGGGTTACCTCAAGCAAGGTTGGAAATTTTATAATTAGAATTGTGTTTGGATTTTTAAAATTATTTTATCTTATTTAAAAAGTGTGCTATGTGTAGAACTGTCTTTTCTTTTGGTATCTTTAACAAGGTTGATTTTGTTAAAATCGGGAATTGACCAGAGGCCTTATAATTGGCCTCAGATTATAACCAAGGCTTTTTTTGTTCATTTGTTTCCCTCTGGCATTTGGCCAGAGGTAGGATGGAGTTATGATTAGACAGAGAAACCACTTTATAGTGAAGGCTGGGGTGGAGGGACAGCAACAAAAGGACCTAATTTCCCAGATACTGTTCACCTCAGCCACAGATACCTCAGAGTTGAAGGACCTCAGAAGAACAACTGGTTTCCCCTTATTATATCTTCCTTACTTAGTTTCACTCATCCTAGCCTATCTTATCAAATGCTACCGGAATTAAAATGAGAATGGATGCCCAAACACATTCTTCCAATGTTTTTTTCTGTATCCTTGCATTTGCTCATTCTCCCCAGCCCACTGGACTCTACACTAAAGAAGCAAGTAAACTAAACACTATTCAACAACTGTTAAGCCCATGGCTCAAAACAATGACTATGTTTTCACTGCTTACCAGTGTTTATTTTCCAACTAGAAGACAAAATGACTAAAAATTAGAAGAGTATTAAACATAAATAAATGACAGCAGATTATTGAACTTAGTTCCTAAATAGGGGATAATTCTCATTTGATTAAAATCAGTAGCAATATCTCTACTGATTTATATTTATGGCTTGCGTGAGAAAATTCATCATGGTTGCTGCTAGGATTTGTTTTAAGTATTATCATTTTGATGCTGAGGTTTCTACAGAAGTAACATGAGGGATTTTGAAAGAGCTATATATTATTATCTTAGTTTGAAGATTTAAAAAAATACTTTCCTGCTGGTATTGGTTTACTTCTTATTTAGAAGCTTGTGAATATCATGTAGCCCTAACTTATTTTCAATTAAATATTTGCTTTTAGATCAATAATTCATTTGCACACAAATAGCAAAAATATAGGAAAATGGTTGAAATAACTTTTTGTTTTTTACAAGCATGCCTGCCGTGTGATCACGGTTTTCATGAGGCTGATCTTGATACTAATGACAACTGAGCAGAATTGAAATGTTAAGAGTGGGCTCTTATTTTTATTCTTTCTGACCAGTTAAACATCTCTGAACATTAACAAGGAAGGAAGGAAACTGGCCATTAGAGTTCTTTTTAAAATGAATACATTCATTCTGGGGATGGAAAAACTCATGTAAAACTTTGGGATGCATATTAATATACTGTTGTGAATGCATTAGACAAGCTCCAGTGAAGTGGCTAATCTGTTTGACAATTAGTGACAAATTCACTAGTCTAAAAAAATTACTTCCTAAGCTAACTATGCAACATTTTACTTGTGTCAAACAATTATTTCTAAGACTTTGGTTTAGGAATATTTTCTTGTATTGCTTTTCCATCCAAGTCATTATTGCACACTTTATATTGAACTAATCTAGTACAACTTAGTCAAAATTTAAAATTATAGAATGTTTTAAAATCATTAAGCAACACTTGTACTGAAACAGCTTTCTTCCTCTAAGATATTGCTATTTTATGATGATTCCTATTTCAAATGTGATAAGACTATATGTGCAAGAAACAGAAAATATGATGCTGTTGAGAAATGTTTCATTTATTTGAATTAGCATTTGGTCTTACACCATCAATAATGGCCCTCAAATTAAAAAGAACTGAATTAATGAAAAACATATTATAATATGTGCAGTTATTAAATTATATTTGCATAATAAATCCACTTTGAAAACAATTCAAAAAGCTTAAATTGATTTGACAAAGAGCAGTCTTAAAGTATTATGTTTAGTCTACTTGCTATAAGAAGCAGTCCCTCAGGAATTGATGAGATAGTTCTGGACTATGTATTTTTAAACTTAAAAAATTAGTCTCATTATACCATATATTTTCTCCATCATTCCTTTTATCTTGGTTAGACACACCAAAATAGAAGAAATTAGACTTTCTTCATTCTACATTTTCTTTCCATTCTTGTACATACATACATACATACATACATACATACATACATACATACATAC